AGAATAAATTATAAAGGTCTGTAAAATGAATATTCTATCTGCAACTAGCCATAATTTTATAACTTTAAACCACTGTTTCTAAATAAGAAACTGCCTCCTATCTATGTTTTATGCTGGCAGGAAGATTTTAAACTACAAAGAAAACCTTATAAGTATTTTCTGACCATTGAATTGTATACTTTCATAATTCAATAACTCCTTTTGTATTCTACATGACATTACATATTCAGGAAGAGAAGAAAGATTTTTATTATTAAATTAAAATTAAGAAGTAGACACAGAAACTGTTTTCTGGAACAAATAATAATAAAATTGAGTCAATATCATTTTAATAACTGTTTAGGGCAATAGCACTTATAATTCTTTGTTAGTTTATAAGAATAATTTCCTTTTTAAAATTTGATCTACCACTTGAAGCAAAAAAAGAAAAAGAATAACATGGTTCTAAAGAGTTTCCAAGACTACATAATGTAAACACCAAAAATATGTGCAAATTATTTGAAATATTAATTTACATACAAATAATACATAGAAAGGTATAAATCACAGGAATCCAGTTTGTTTCAGTAACAAATACACAAAAATGAAATTTCAAAAACTCTAATTACACCAAAGATAAAAAATATAAAATACTTGAGGACGAATTCATTAAATGCTATGAAAAACATTTGCACTGAAAACTATAAAACTTAAAGAATAAAACAACTTAAAGAATAAAAAATATATAAATATAGGATGCCCCTGGACTAAAAAAAATCAACATTTTGAAAAATTTTATTTTCCCCCCAAATTGACCTATAAATTGAATTAAATCCCATTCAATATTCCAACCAGCTTTTTTTGTAGAGAGATTTGACAAGTTGATTCTAAAATGTATACAAAGATGCAAAGGATTTCAAAGGATCCCAACAAAATGAACATGCACTACCTCATTTCAAGACTCTGGTAGTACCAAAATAATCAATGCAGTGTGGCAGTGGTATACAAGACAAAGAGCCATAGAGACAAATAAGTTTTCCAGAAATAGACTCGCACACAATCAATAGATTTTAAATAAGTAATTCAAAGCAATTCAATGAATAAAAGTAAATATTTTCAACAAATTTTCTCTAACAATAGTGCAAATGAACAGAAGCAAAATGAGTTTCAGTACCCTACTTCACACCACACACAAAAATTGAGATAGTTAAAACTATGACACTTGTGGAAGAAAACACACAAAATTATCTTGCATAATGGATGCAGGCAAAGATAGATTATATATATATATATATATATATATATATATATATATATATATATATAAATTATTATAAAATACAGAAACAAATTAATTAGACTTACCTGCTTTCCAATTGTTTACTCATCAAAACATTTAATTATGAAAATGAGTGTCAAATTAGGAGAAAATATTCACAAAGGATATATGTAATTAAGGACATGTTTCCTACTACTCATTAATACAAAGATCAACAACCAAATTTTTAAAAGACATACAAAGGAAGACACAGAAATGATCAATAAACATGTGAAAAAAGTTTTTGACATTATTAATGACTAATGAAAGGCAAACTAAAACCACCTTTTTAAACTAACTAAAAATAAAATCAAATGCAAAAACAAGCGACAGAAGAAAATGTTAGTGAGGCTTAAGAATTCTTATATGTTATTTTTGGGAATACAAACAAACACAGTTACTTTGGATTTGAGTAGTTTCTTATGGTTAAAAATATACAACTCAAGATCCATAAATTCTACTCCTACATATTTACCAAGAGAAGTGAAACATGTGTTGACCAAAATAGAAATGAAAGAGTTGAACATAAATATTCATAGAAGCTGTATCCAAACTAGTACCAAAACAATCCAAAAGTCATCAAGAGGTGAATGGATAAATTGTGGGATTCCTGTTAGTAGAATACTACTCAATAATACAAATACTTTACCCTAAACAATATGAAAAAGGAGCTAGAAACATATACAAAAATATATGCTTCTTGATTCCATTTATATGAAATTTCAGAACAAACTAATTGTTTGTAAAAAAAAAAAAAAAATCAGAAAGTGATCCCCTGGATCAGAGGATTTGGGTTGATTGGAAAAGGTAACATTGAATCTTTCCCATAATATAAAAGTTACACATCTTAATATGGGTGTGAGTCACACCAATATTTGCATTGTCAAAACTCATAAAACTATAGTACTTAACATTTTTATTGTATGTAAAGCATTTATAAAACAGATCCATAAATAATTTATTATAAAATATTCAACTAGGATCATTTTAGAAGTAAAAATGATTGTCATATTAGAGTTATAGAATTTTAAGTCAGTTTTATTAACTTTTTTTTTCATTTTTGGTTTTCTCTATTTTTTTTTTTTTTTTTACTAATTATTGAACACCTACTGGGAGTCTGGAATGGTTGGAGGTGTTTTGAGCACTGATATCAATGAACAAAATAAACATAGATGTCTTCTTCAAGTTGCTGGCAATCTACTTGGAGAGCAGGGAGGAAGACAGAAAAACAGCATAAATAAGTAAATAATAGTGTTTAAAAACATGAGATGTGCTATGAGAGAAAGAAAGAAAATGTCTAGCCTGCCACCACTCTGACATATCATGCTCTGGATGCCTGATGACATTTTTTTTTTGAAGGTTCTGGATATGCCTATCTTTACTGATTAACATTTTTGCCTTTATTAATGACAAATGATTCTAATACTTTAGAATCATTCTAGAAATAAGTGTGCAGGTATGTGTGTGCGTTTTCAGAAGTGCTGGGTTGCCATAGTTGCTTCATTCCTCAAGCTTTTGCAATATTTAATACTTGAATAAATATGTATCAGAATGTCACCCTTGGTGGGTAAAAAGGGTTGGATTCAAGGACATTGCGTTCAATGCTAATCACATTCCATGAGTCATAGTCACATTGAGTTATCAACTCAAAGAGCAGCCTTTTTGTCTTCTGTATGAAAGACAAGCTGCTCAAATGTTACAGAATTCAGATGCCCAAGTCATTAAGATGTGGTGGTACATAAAAGATGCAGCATAGATAATTCAAAATAGACAGGAAGAATGTGCTCTAGGAATAATTCTTCTTCAAGTCATAATATCTGGCACAAAACATAAATAAAGCCCTATTTTTCTCCTTCAGTGCCCTGCCGTGAAGGAGTCACTGAGCCAACTTGTTATCTGCCAGTAACAGCTGAGTTGGGGGTAGGCCTTCAGCTACAGAGAGACTTGTCTTATATTTTTTAACAAGACACAGACTGAAAACATAAGAAATCCCCAACAAAAAGCTAAAATGCCACAACTCAAAAACTCTACAATGAGATTATCTGACATAGTGAAATATTAAACCCCATGTCATTTTTCTATAGCTAGAATGCAAACACAAAAATTACTTTTAAAGTTTACTCTTAGTTATTATTTTAATCATTTATCTTGGGGAAAAATGTCTTTAACTAAATTCTATAGGTGCACTCACAGACCCCTAATCTCAAATCTATATAGTAATAAAGGATTCTTTAAGGATAATGTATTTATTAACTGCCTATGGCTTATGCTTCCTTCCCAATTGCCCATACATTTATGATTCTGCTAGGTGGCATGCCTTCTTGCCTGTTAAAACTACACCTACTCTTTCAGTTCCAGCTGAAGTCCTTTTCTTTGGTAGTCTTTCTCAAGCAATATATTTGTAATTGACCTGTCCTTCCACTCAGTTCAGGTAGCAAGATCTTGCATCCCACTTATTTAGTTAAGGATCAGACATTTCAATTCCTATAATAATTATTCCTCTTAGAGTTCCTGATCCAGATGAAATAAGAACAATAGATTTCACAGGCAGAATCCAATTTAAATGCAGGTTATATTCTCAAAATCAATTTGTAAATTTTGTCATAACAGCTGTTATTAATGATGGTACTCTGACAAGAAAATAAAGCAATATCTGATATTTTAAAGACCAAATCTGAGGTATGGGATCAACAGGATTCCTTTGCAGAATTATTTTTTTCTGGGAAAACACATTTTAAAATGTAGTATGCAGTTTAGTTCTGCTTCTGCACTGCCAACACAAAGCTGATCAAAAATGTTCAGGTGATCAAAGAAAGCTTAAATGGTAGCTGATGTGGAAATAGTCCATGAAGTCCCATAAATTGGTTGTGGCTTCCTAGGGCATCCACAGGAAGTTTCCAAGTCTGCTCAGAACCTTCTGAAACTCCTCACATAAACTGCAAGTGAGTTGTAGTTTCCAGTAGCCCCCAAACACCTGTTAGAGGCTGGGGTAAAGCAAGGAGGTAATAGCTAGATAGTGCACACAGCACCATTGTTTGGTCTGAATTCATAAAAGCATACAAGTTTAAAATAAGAGAATGCCTTTTGGCCTTTTTAGCATCTTCTCTCACACTGCTTATCTGCAAAAGCATTCACTAGAGAACATAGTTAACCCATTAAATCCTAAGTTTTCAATTCTGTGCATATTTTAATGAAATTGACACAGGTATACTAAAATAAGTGGTAAATCATAATCTAGATCTTATATATTATTATATTAATATTATAACTATTACATTATGATTATAATATCACTGTATATAATAATTATATTCATATTATTATAAATGTATGATATAGCACCTATTTATATTATATAGATGTACTATATTTCAGTTTTTACAGATGTTCCTCATCTGGGACAACAGGATAAAATGGGTTAGGAATAAAGCAGAAGGAAAAAAAATCTGATTCATGGATGGGTGCCTTTGATCTGAAGGTCAATCAAAATATGGAAAGAAACACTGAAACAAAGGAGATTACAAAGTTTGGGCTAAAGCTAGTTTGCTGCTCATTTTATTTTTCTTCCGTCTCTGTTGGGTGACCTTCATGTTCTCCTTACATTGTTCTTAAAGCAGTAAGAACAATGATCTCAATTTGTGAAAACACAATCCTTTCTTGGAAAGCCCAGGTTTCTGGCAGAAGCTAGAAAAGTTGCTCTTACCTCTTAGTTCCCCCATATCCAGGGTGGTCCCAAGTTGTTCTAGTAAAGCAACCCTTGCTGCATTCTTTTTGTGTTTCTTGCCATCATAATGCTGCTGGGCCATCAGAGGGTTATTAAACCAGGCCGCACAGAGCCCACAGTATCTGTCTGAATCTCTTCTTTGATAGGGAGATGCAACCACCGGAGCAGCTTCCACCCGTGGGGGCTTGAGTGAGCTCAGGGGTGTTGCTGGAAAGACAACAACCAGAGAAGCACGGGCCAGGTTAGTCCATCTCTGAGTGCACCTTTACTCACTGCCCAAAGATTAGAGAGTCTCATATTCACTCTAGAATTTAAAAATCCAAGAGAGTTTACTGAGAGCAGGAAAATTTTCTTTGTCAAGCTTCACTTTTGAGTTGGTATACAAATGAAAATTCTTGATTGATTGAATTTGTATATTCTTATGCTGAAATGTGATAGCTCAAGAGGTCATCTCTTAGGGGAAAAATAGGTTGTAAAAAGAAACTCTTGAAGGTAAAGAAGTGATCTTTAAGTCAAAATGAAGCCAATACTTAAACATTGCACAATCATGACTTGAACGATTTTGAATGGATGAGTTGGACATTTGTGTGCTAAAAATAATGGATTTTCCTAAGTGATACAGACAGATCTTTCAGTGACTTGAATTGTACCAATTGAGAAAATCATGTTAATTTTGTCAGTTATTTCTGTTTATTAGGATAAGTTCTCAACCTATACCTGCTAAAGTTGATGTTGAAAGTACAGCGGTTATTTATTTTCTTTTTCTAAAAGAAAAAAAAAAAAAAAAAAAACAATATACAGCAGATGTTGCTTGTCCAAACTGAAAGGCATATATCACATATCACTATTTTTAGATCGCACAGTCCCAGCTATTAATGCATTTCCATTGTGAACTTACAGTTATTTCTGGACTAGAAAAAAAAAATTGAAGGAGTTTACTAATGGAAAGTAAAAATAACTTTAGCATGCATTACAACATATAAGTTGCTACCATCCCTACAATGACTATGCCTCAGGTTATTGTCCTATTTCTCAGATGATTGACTTCAGAGATGCCAAGTGACTTTCTAAAGATGAGATATCTAGTTATAATAAAGGCGAGGACTCAGAACCAAATGCTTAATTTCCAAGGCCAATGTTCCTTTCAATGCCCCCAAGGACTCTTTAAATTAAATAAGTAAAGAGATATTTTTCCCCTAAAACTATCTGTCATCTTTTTCTTTTTGTAAACACAGGATTCCAATTCATCTTGGAAAAATATTCTGATCCAAATATTTTCAAAACAAAAACAATATTTAAATTCTCCCATGGCTCATTAGTCATATGCAATTTAGCAGCACCTTCTTTGTGTTCCTTGTCTCCAAGATGGGAAATGTAGTTGACAAAACTATGAACATAAGGGTCATTGTTCCAAGGAAAAGCAGAAACCTGGGACATCAATGACGAGTTAAGAAACCAATTAATCAACTCCCCAAGCTTTCAAATTAACTTCTGTGTGGACTTTTAGATTTTAGATAAAATAACTGATATGGAAATACATACTTCCCTAACGACATTTTAATTCAAAGAATATCCACACCATGACAACATATCAGGAGGTCTTTTTTCCTCTTATCCAGAGAATTTATCAGATCAGGAAGTTTTAGTTAGGTTAAATTTAACGGTGTTATTTCTAAAGGTACTCTGATAAACAATATGCTTCTTAAATGCCTCATAGCTAGATTTGATTATGTATAACTATATAGAAATAAATCTCAACTGTGTGCCATACATCCCACCAAGGGTCATTCTTCTATGACTTGGGAAATCTAATAAAGGCTACAAATCTATGGTTCACCTAGATATGAAAGAACTATCCATTCTTTTCAAGAAAATTTGGTCTTGCCTCAAAATTTCCTGCATCTTTATCAATTTCTGAGCATTTATAGCTGCATATTGCTTTTTATGATAACGGAAAGCAAATCAAATATTTGCAATCTCAATGAATCCTGACTCTTGAAGCAAAACCTATTTTTGTCTAAATTGGACCCTAAAAAACACTCAGTCACTTTATCATTTTTTTATTTTTCTCAATTAATACCCGATATACTGCAGCCTGGCAGGAGTGATGCACAGCAGAACAGTCATCAAATAAGATAACCTTATCTAGCAAATAGGAAAGTAGAGTGAGGCTACTTTTGTATTGTAGTGTCTATTTCTGAATAATTCTAGTATATTATCAGGTAAAGTCTAAGATTTAAATGTTTCTTTTGTTTCATTTTCCAACTGTCTACTCCAATCTCAACCCAGTTTATATTTTCTAAATACTTATAAAGGCAAAGGCAGGGAGGTAGGAATAGCCTTGCATCAAAGTCAGAAATCAGGGTTGACTTGGGCTTCAGCATCACTGAGCTACATGACCTTCAGCCAACCTCTGATTTTCCAGGTTTCCACAAGGTTAAATTTTAGGATCACCAAGCCTTTTAAAGCTAATAGTCTTTGCTGCTAACTCACAAAATGAGAATGGAACACATTTTAGAAGCTCTCTCTCTTTTGTGGTTTTGACTCAATGCCAAATATGGAAATTGCATGGGAGGAGTGCAGTTTCCAGGTTTTAATGATAAATCCATGTGTGTACATGGCTCATAACTCTCATAATCTTTGGCTAAAGTGTATTATTCTAATGAAATGAGTACAAATGGGGTAAAGATTATATTTGGCTTAAAAATATCCTTTTAATAAACACATATTTGGTTAATATGTGTTTAATTTTTATTTTTATTTCATACTTCATATTTTCATTCCAATTGTAAAAAAGTTAAACTGAATATTGATTTTAACTATCACTATCTTTTATAAAACGTTAAACCAATAGTCAATTAATCAAAACCAGTGGGTTTCTCTCTCTTTCTTCTTTTTTTCTTTTTTTGGAAAAGGTATTGAACCCAGGGTACTTAATAACTGAGACACATCCCCAGCCCTCTTTTTTTAATATTTATTTTTTTAGTTGTAGGTGGATACAATATCTTTATTTCATTTTTATGTGGTGCTGAGGATTGAACCCAGTGCCTCATGTATGCTAGGTGAATACTCTACCACTGAGCCACAACCCCAGCCCCACTAGCCCTTTTTTGTACATTTAATTTAGAGACAGGATCTTGCTGAGTTGCTTAGGGCCTCACTAAGTTACTGAGGCTGGCTTTCAACTTGTGATCCTCCTGCCTCAGCCTCCTAAACTGCTGGGATTACAGGCATGCACTACCGTGCCCTGCCCTAAAATCAGTACTTTTCAACATTAGACTTACCCAACTTTAAAATCTCTATGCCCAGGCTGTACCTCAAACCAATCAGATTGGAATGTCTAGAGGGAGAGCCAAGCACCAAGATGTTTATAAAACTACACTCCTCCCAAGCCACAGCTGATACTGAGAACATCCATCTAAATATTGCCATGTTTTCTTTGAAAATTACTATAAAATAAAGTGGCAATGGAGCTAGTTTTTCCCATAGGCAATAGAAAAAAAGATCACATCTTTATCCATGAGACACAGAGGAATAACAATTACTTGCTTCTTTTGAAACTCCATTTTTTTTCATTTTTTCAAAATCTAAAATGTTTGCCAAGATAGCTAATATCAAAATGAATACTGATAAAGTTAGATAACAGTTCTGATTCTTGTCACCTTGAAGAAACTCAAGAACACATTGAGCTGTCATACCATCAACCTTTGGCTGCCCCCATGACAGCAAGACCTGGATTCAGGGCCATCATTTTTCTCACAGTTTCTCACCTGTGCTACAGGATGCTTCTCAACCCCTTCTACTCTATGTGAGAACAATAAAACAAAACAAAATAAAACTTGACTTCTAAGAAGCACATGATCATGGAAGACATTTCAATATACTTTTCCCTGCCTCACACAAAGTTTTCAGACAGCAGGTTATCAAATTCTATTTATGGACTGTTAGATAAACTGTATTGAATAATAGTCTAAAATAATATGCATCCTTGTCCCATGTTTTGTTTTGTTTTGTTTTGTTTTCTGGCAAGAGACCCATGGCTGATTTAAGGATAAAAGGGTTTCCTGAGCACCCTGTAGATGTTGCTACCAGATACTGCCTCACTCTGAAAGGTGATAGGGACATGGCCTTCATCCAATGCCTTTTGTTGAAGGAAGGAAGGAAGGATGGAAGGATGGAAGGATGGAAGGATGGAAGGAAGGAAGGAAGGAAGGAAGGAAGGAAGGAAGGAAGGCCCACCTCATAATAAATGAGAAAGGGAGATGATAACAAAGGTTTTCCTTTTTTCTTTTAAATTGTAACATCAATGTATTGGAAAGTTAGGTGATTTGCCAGTCTATATACATACAAGAAAATAAGTAGGGTGAAAGCTAAAATGTGAGAGGGCAATATGTCAATTTTTGGACACTTACCCCAGTCTCCCTCCTTCTTTCGGATTCAATTAGACATGCTTTTTTGTTGTTGTTGTCATTTGTTTAAGATGGGGTCTTGCCATGTTGCCCAAGCTAACCTCAAACTCCTAGGCTATAGCAACCCTCCTGCCTCAGCCTTCCAAGTAATTGGGATTATAGACATGTGCCACCATGCCGATCTCGGCTAGATATCTTGAAAGTCACTATTCTCTCAAACTTCTTTGCACTTTCTGGGGGTGGCCGATCTCCAAGAGTTTCAGAGGGAACCAATTATACATATCAGTCTGAATACTTCACTTTCAGACTGGAAGCTGTTTACTCTGGATCATTTATCGTGGCATTGAAACCCTCACTATAGCTTGTGGTATAGTACCAGCCATCACAGATTTCCCAGGACCCAGAGGTTCCTAGGACATGGAGCTCTCAGGACAGAAACAGAGAAATGTCCTGGGCAAACGGGAATGAAGTGCTTACTGGGGACAAACCTGATTTAACATTAAACAAGGGAAATAGAAATTTTGAATGCTTTGGGAATAGATGTTCATGAATCTAGAGTGGGTGTTTCAATCAAGTAGATAGGATCCACTACTAGATCTCAAATCTTTTTCAGATCACCAACTGGGTGTCCATAGTGGAGAAAGAGGGGAGCATAGGGTCTTGCCTGTCTGCTTTCTGACCATGGCCCCAGGGTGCTCTGCAACCTCACAGGCACAGCTCCTATGCTGAGCTCCCTCACACTTTTCCCACTCTCTTCTCTCCCCTCTCTCTCTGGATCCCTCTCTTTCCCAATTTTCT